CAATCAAACACTTTCTGGCCCTTCTGAAGTCTAGTCAATACAGGCTGAATTGAAAAAATTTCTCCTCAGAAGGCAGTCCTGTCATCCTCAGTACAGGGAGCGCGGTGGTGTGTTGAAGCAGCAGGCAACTGGAAGCTCAGGGGCATTTTTGCAAACAGAACGTAGGTGTTCTGCAAAACTGCAGTGATCCACTGGACTGCTACAATGCTCCAGTGAAGTTCAGCGCAAGCTGGAAGAACAACATCCGATTTTCCTCTTGGGAACCCTGCAATCTTCCAGACTCAATATCAAGTTCAATAATTTTGGAGCCTGAGGACCTTTTCCAATGTCTTTACCCCAACATCCACACACACCAGGCCTTGTCATCATGTGGGGCTGCTACCACAAACAAACCATTGTCAGACACTCATGATCCCCATTAGCAGCTATTGATTCTCCCAGGCTAACATTTACCCATTTCTTCGTCTGCCCAACAATTTTTCTCCATCTCTCTGGGCTCCCTGTCCACGTATAGTTTTCTCCTCCCCCTTCCCTCAACCCTTCTCTGGCATTTATACCATCCTTTTCCTACCGACAATGAGTTCTGAAGAAGAATCACTGGAACTGAGACATTAACTCTGCTTTCTTTCCACAGATGCTGCAAGACCTACTGAGTTTTTTCAGCAACTTCTGATTTCCAGTATCTGTAGTTCTTTGGTTTTTTTGACCATTGAGGTCACGTTTGCTTGTCTCCTTCCCACTTCCATAAAACTTGTTTGTGGATCCTCATCACTGTTTCTACCTGTGTAAATGGTACTGATATGGACCAAGACCTCTGACTGTTTACCCTCCCAGTTCAGAATTCTCTGCAGCTGCTTGGTGCCATTTGGCCCATTGAACCACACCAGCCCTCCAGAGGCCATACCACCCTATCAATGTAACATTAGCATTTTCCATAGCTAATCTACCTAGTTTGCATTTGCCTGGACACTATGGGCAATTTAACATGGCTAATCCATCTAATCTGCACATCTCTGGACTGTGGGAGGAAACCACAGCACCCATAGGAAATCCACACAGACATGGGGGAAATGTGCAAACTCCACACACACAGTAACCCGAGGGTGGAATCCTTGACCCTGGCACCAGGGAGGCATCCTCCCGTCCTGGATTCCCATCTGTCTGAAATCCAAGTCTGTCCGTGATCATAGAATTCCTTCTCGTTATTGCTTTTCCAATTTTCCTCTCTCCCTCCCTGTGATGCTGTCGCCTTGGCTCTGGCTGTAGAGGCACTACCACCCTCACCACTATTTCACACTGAATATTAGTTGGAAAGTGGGATGTGATTAGGACTTTCCTGTATTATATGCTTGGTCTTCCATAATTGCGTGAAAGTCACCCATTCCCTCTTTATCTGACACTGCAAGGTAACCACATCCAGAAACATTGCTACCCATGTAGCTCTCATCCCGACAGATGAAAAGAAGTGATAGCAGCTGCTACTGAAATTTTGAAACCCAGAATCTAAGTTCCTCTAGCTGGTGACTCTAGCTCTTGTACATGTAGTTGTCCTGAGAATGAGAAGTGTCCTAGAGATCCAATTGGAACAGAATATGTAGTCTGTGGAACCTGGTGACCTACTATTCTACTGGTTGTGAGATTAGAAAAACTCACAGAAGTAATCTAAGAACTAATTTAAAATATTCACCAGTTAGTTACTCATAGAGTCATACAGCACAGAAACAGACCCTTCGGTCGACCTCCCCACCTACGTCCGTGACACCACCCACACGCTCCACCTCCTCCAAAACTTCCGATTCCCCAGTCCCCAACACCACATCTTTACCACGGACGTCCAGTCCCTATACACTAGCATTCCCTATGCAGATGGCCTCGGCTTCTTCCTGTTCCGCAGGCCTGACCAGTCCCCCTCCACTGACACCCTCATCCGCTTAGCTGAACTCATCCTCACCCTTAACAACTTCTCTTTCAATTCCTCCCACTTCCTACAGACAATGGGGGTGGCCATGGGTACCCGCATGGGCTCAAGCTATGCCTGCCTCTTTGTAGGTTACGTGGAACAATCCTTCTTCCGTAGCTACACTGGCCCTAAACCCCACCTCTTCCTCCGTTACATTGATGACTGTATCGGCGCCACCTCGTGCTCCCACAAGGAGCTTGAACAGTTCATCCACTTCACCAACACCTTCCACCCCAACCTGAAGTTCACCTGGACCATCTCTGTTACCTCTCTCTCCTTCCTGGACCTCTCTGTCTCAGTTTCCATCTCTGGCAACCACCTGGAAACCGATATCCATTTCAAGCCTACCGACTCCCACAGCTACCTAGAATGCACCTCCTCCCACCCACCTTCCTGCAAAAATGCCATCCCCTATTCCCAATTCCTTCACCTCCACCGCATCTGCTCCCAGGATGAGGCATTCCACTCCCGAACATCTCAGATGTCCTCATTTTTCAAGGACCGCAACTTCCCCCCCTCTCAGCGGTCGAGAACGCCCTCGACCGTGTCTCCCACATTTCCCGCAACTCATCCCTCACACCCCCTCCCCGCAATAACAACCAAAACAGAATCCCCCTCGACTTCATGTACCACCCCACCAACCTCCGGATCCAACGCATCATCCTCCAACACTTCCGCCATCTGCAATCCGACCCCACCACCAAAGACATTTCTCCCTCCCCACCCTTATCTGCTTTCAGGAGGGACCACTATCTCCGTGACTCCCTTGTCCGCTCCACACTCCCCTCCAGCCCCACCACACCCGGCACTTTTCCCTGCAACTGCAGGAAGTGCTACACCTGCCCCTACGCCTACCCCTCAGCCCCATCCAAGGGCCCAAGAAGACCTTCCACATCAAGCAGATATTCACCTGCACATCTGCCAATGTGGTATACTGCATCCGCTGTACCCGTTGTGGCCTCCTCTACATCGGGGAAACCAAGCGGAGACTTGGGGACCGCTTTGCGGAACACCTACGCTCGGTTTGCAACAAACAACTGCACCTCCCAGTAGCGAACCATTTCAACTCCCCCTCCCATTCCTCAGACGACATGTCCATCCTGGGCCTCCTGCAGGTTGCTACCCGAAGGTTGCAGGAACAGCAACTCATATTTCGCTTGGGAACCCTGCAGCCCAATGCTATCAATGTGGACTTCACAAGCTTCAAAATCTCCCCTCCCTCTACCGCATCCCAAAACCAGCCCAGCTCGTCTCTGCCTCCCTAACCTGTTCTTCCTCCCACCTATCCCCTCCTCCCACCTCAAGCCCCACCCCCATCTCCTACCTACTAACCTCATCCCGCCTCCTTGACCTGTCTGTCCTCCCCGGACTGGCCTATACCCTCCCTAACTCCCCACTTACACTCACCTTTACCGGCTCCACCCCCACCTTTTTGACCTGTCTGTTTCCTCTCCACCTACCTTCTCCTTTATCCATCTTCTATCCGCCTCCCCCTCTCCCTATTTATTTCAGAATCCCCTTCTCCTCCCCCATTTCTGAAGAAGGGTCTAGGCCTGAAACGTCAGCCTTCCTGCTCCTCTGATGCTGCTTGGCCTGCTGTGTTCATCCAGCTCTACACCTTGTTATCTCCCTTCGGTCTATCTCAATGCCTTTTAAATGGTGTACTCGCCCATCAATACTTTTCGTTGTGCTGACATCGCTTTTTAGTTTTAAACGAAAACAGAAGTAGCTAGAAAAGCTCACCAGGTCTGGCAGCATCTGTGAAGAAAAATCAGTGTTAGCGTTTCAGATCTGGTGACCATCCCTCAGAACCAGACCCAAAACGTTAGCTCTGATTTTTTCTTCACAAATGCTGCCAGACCCGCTGAGATTTTCCAGCTACTTCTGTTTTTGTTTCTGATTTGCAGCATCTGCAGTTCTTTCGGTTTCCTTTTTAGTTTTGTCTATTATTTCACTGTCTTACACTCTTATACTCTCCAGGCTCTGGACCCAAACTTACTCAGGCCTTCTACTTTTGCATGTTGGTCTCTAGCATTGTTTTCCCTCAGGCTTAATCTCTTAGTTGCCCATTGGCACCCTGCTACAGCTTTTACCTGTTGTCTTATAACACTGCTTCCTCTCAATTTAATTCAAAGCACGTAAACCTGTCACAAGATCATATAATTAAGTCACATTACATGAGAAAATGTACCCTGCAAATCTATCCAGGGAAGATAAATGAATTATTTCACAAATGTAGGTTCTGAATGCACAGCGTGCGTGTCAGAAGAACAATTTGTTAAAATTACCTTCATGTGCTGTGTCAAACAACAAAAGAAAATTGACTGGATATTGTTTTTGATTGTCTTTTATTTTCCCCAAAATGTCCACATTTTGACATCAAAACATGCACCACAATAAAGCTGTAATTTTCAGTCTCCTATATAATTAATCAATTGTTTTAATTACAGACATCGAGCTGTGTGTTCAGTTGTTTTTTGACAATACTTTCATCTTATTTACTACTCCGTAGTTCATCTGTCAAAGTTCATCAGAACTATGTAGAATGCTTTTTTTTAAAAAATGTGATTGTTGATGGATTGTTTTGGAACTGTATCACCTTTATCACGCATTTCCTCCATTATTTTCTTTATAATATACAAATATTGACTTTTTTTAAAGGTTGTAGCATCGAAACATTCCTTACTTCAATTAAAATGGCCTAGTACGGACTTCTATTCAGTCCAAAAAGGCATTATTAATGTATGGGATGTTGTGACACAATAACCATTAAAAAACAGTGACTATTTGTGTAATAAACCATTTTTAAGATGTCAGTAAAAGGTTCCATCTTTACTTTTCCAGACTGAACTACATCCAGGAATACAGGCAGATAAAGGAGGGTTCATCTGGAAAGATAGGTGGATAACCCTTATATGTCTTTATGTCGTTGTTAAAGGGTTATCTTCTGTTATTTTATCAAAATTACCATTATGCATGTACAATGATGTATGCACAACATTGCAACGGGCCAGCATTTATTTCTTGTTTTGTTTTGTAGGGAAGAAAAACTCACTCCTTCTACATAAGGTCCAAAGAGATCTGAACACTGGTGTTTTTGATAATCAAGAGACTGAACTACTCAAAAAGATGGTAAAACAAGACCGAGAGATGGTGCAATTGACGGAAACGCCTCTTAATACATCATTCAGTATATTTCCTCCATTCTCTGTCAACTCAGTCATCAGAGCTTCTTTGCAGTCACAACCACCAAACATAGCTCAGTTAGATTTTCAGCAGACTTCTTCACCAAATTTGAATACCAATTCACCATCTTCTCAGTCGTACACTAGACCACCCCAGCTGGTTCACTCTGCAGCCAGCCAGAGTTCCCCCACACCCAGCCCACAGGCAGTGGTGCCATCACCGAGTTCTTTTAACGCTGTAGTTTCCAGTCCTTCCGTTCAGAGTCCATTGGCAAGCCGAACTTTCCAATATGGTTCACCAACTGTGTCACAGATGTCCTTGATGCAGCAGGCACAAACCCCAACTCAACGGCGCGATTCCAACAAAAGCACACAGGGTTTGCAAACAAGCAGCCTAAGCAGAGAAGCAAGACCCCTCTCAGCATCGCAGCCCTCTCTGCCTCATGAGGTGACACCATTAATTGTCAAACCGCATCCATCTTCGGGAGAATTGTTAGCAGCGGTACCTGTCTCCAGTACGCAGAGTACCGGACCTCAAGGAGGAATCCGAAGCACTGTTCCTCAAAGAGTGGCCCTCTTCCGGCATATGTCCTCAGGAGCTCTACCACCACTTCGAGGACCACAAGTAGCCTCACCAGCCCAAAAGAGGGAGACATCTACAGCCTTAATTACAGATACTAATCAAGGAAGACCACGATTTCCCTCTAATTTATGACCCTAATTGTTTTGTTCAGTGTCGATTTGTTATCGTTAATTACTGAGATTCTTCACCAATGTCAATTACAAGGTAACCTCATCGCTCATGAGGATAGTCTTATCACCTTCTGACAGATTGGACACTGCTGTCCTCAATTACATGCACAGCTCAACGAATGTAAAATGTGACAGAATAAAAAAAATTATAAATCATAATTTTCAGAGTTCTAATTAGTACATCACCAGTCTTCCTCCCCCATGGATTTTGGACATGTTGAATTGTTTTATAAATACTTGTAAAATAAGAGCAATGTAATAATAACTCATCAACTGGATCAATATTATTGTTGAAACAAAATCTATTTGAGCGCACAACAATGCATATCCAGTTCAGGACAGAGTTTTTAAAAGTGTATCAATGCTGCTCCATATAGCATCACCTACACCATTCAGTGTTTCTTGCTTGAGAACTACTCATCAAGATATTGTGTTCTTTATCAACAAAGCATGGAACATCTAATATATTTTGTAATGAACTTTCAATCGATAATTCTGTAAATTATGTTCCAGTATTATTCTGGGTGATATTTCTGCATGTTCATAGATGTACTAAGGACCAATTTTTAAAAAAAATCTGACATCTCTTCTAAATTGGCAAGACATTCCTTGTTTCAGCTTCAATGTTAAATGTATGCTTCATTTTAATGGATTCCGCTAAAGAACATTTACTTATGACATGCAAATGGACAAACGAATGCATCCATATCTTCAATGTTAGTATAAATACAAATTTGCTTGTTGTGGTAACTAGGAAGTTTTCATTCATACTTTTTTTTCCTTCTTTGTTTCATTATTTCCCGTGAAGCTTTGATGAAATGAATAATTTGTAGATCAGGAAGGTAGTTTAAAAAGAATACTATCATAGGCATGGCATCAATTGATGCCTGTGAATACTGTACTGTGCAATTTTATCATTGCAATGTCTTATTTCATTAAAGCAGTATTTTTATGGGTTAGATAACACCTACCAATCAGGTTAAACAGATCTTTTTCCTTTATTTTGTTTCTTTGTTTTTACATATTTATTAACAGTATCTTGTTTGCTTAAAATTTGTAGTTCATATGTGTTGATTTTAGAAAACAAAATTTTTTCTTGTATGATGTCACAATACATCATTAAAGATACATTTAAAGCCGTACTCTCAAATAATTCAATTGGTATTTTAAACTCCTTAATAAATGAACATTGTTTATAAAATATTTCTACTTTTTGTTTCTATAAACATAACTTTGAAACTTTTTTTTTAAAATACGGGGTCTATGGTCTTAACACTGGTTGAAAATTTATGGAAAGCACTATTTCCTATCAGTGTGATTTAATTTTGTGTCAAAATTTCGACAGTTCTGAATGAGTGATCAGGCGAAACATCATGGTCATGTTCATCTCTTTCAATGCGGCTACAATATTTTTCAAATAGCTTTTCATCATTCAACTTATGTATAATTATGTTGAAATAATGATGCAACAGACTGAAAACATGTTGATTAATTCAATCACTTTGATGCAAGAGAGAATATGGCTTTAACATCAAAGTATGTTTATCATGTGCAGCACAAATGGCTACATATTTTTGAAATACAAAATAATGATTATTAATATAGGAATTAGGTGGAACAAATAAAGGAAAAGGATTATTTAAGTAGAAAATTGTGTTTGTGGGGTTCCTTTTTATGTTTCTATGTTTCTATGTTTTCACATTTTTTTTCTTTCCTTTGTATTTATTTCATAAGGATTGTCATTGCAAAGGATATTCTTACGCTATTGTGTGCCTAAAATGTGGTCATTTTATCTATGTATGTATGCAAAGGAAAGTTAAGTTTTTTTTCTTAAATGTCTGTCTTCATAATTTCAGAGAAAATTATTAGAAATCCAGAAAGCCATATGAACTGATAAAACCATCCGTGTTGTAGTTACAAAATCAGGTTTATGCTCATTACAGATGGCACAAATTAATGTATAAATCAATATTTATGCAGAAATTGACTAAGATTGACTAGAATTATCATAATGTAAAATATAAAAGACACATATATATATAGATATTTTGAATTCCTGGTGGTGACACCATGACCTCTAATAGTTCATCTTTGTATATATCTATGTTAAGATATGATAATGCTGTACAATTTCACAGTAGTTCTCATGTTCATTAACTCCATGTGGCAAAACAGCGAATGTTTGGATAATGGTGCTATTGAGAGAAACATTGAATGTAACATTCTTGTTGAAAGACAACATAGTGGATAAGCTAAATTTTTTTTTGCTGTCTTTGCTTGTAATGAAACTTTAATGAACATAAAAGGAACAAAATATTAAAAGTCAAACGTTATCAAAGTGAGTTGCTCAGCCTGTAAAACTAAAGTGGTTTTCGAAGGAAAAATTAGCCAAATGACAATATTTGGCATAGAAATCCATTATGACACCTAAAAATCAATGATCAGAGATGTCACTTCCATTTACCCTGTACTCACATAACTTTTTTAGATCTTAGAATTCTATTTGTTTAATGTAAAGTACTTTTATTCATAATTTCTTGGTAGAACGAACTTAAACATAGCTAGAAGGAGACAAGAAGTGGAAGGTATTTGCCTTCCACTCATTAGAACTATGATTAAAAAAAACAGAATTGAAGGGACACATTTTATACTGTGTGGGAAGAGGGTGCTGATAGTTGGACCATGATTGCTTGGAAATGCAGCAAGAAGAGTTCAATCTAAATTCTCAGACCGGGTTTTAGTTCAATCCTGCGACATAGGCATCACTGGCTGGACCAGCATTTATTGCCTGGTTGCTCTTGAAGATGGGTGAGCTATCGGAGCTTTCAGAGCCTCATTCCTCCTTCAGGTGTTAGTGAGAGAGGTAGTATCAGACACAGAATTTTTAAGTAAAAGATCAAAGGGTCACACCACTGATGAGGATATATTAAACAATCCTAAGATGCTGTTAAATCTTTAGTCAGTTAGGTTTTAATTGCTTAATATGTATATGTAAATTCCCGAATTCCTTCCAAGTCAGTGTCCTGAGAGAACTAAAGGTTTTATCAGTGTAAAGAAGAGGTGACATTTTAGGTCAGACAATGCATGTTAGGTGTGAGGCCTTGTTTAGAATCTGTTTGTGTTTTGCTTTGGAGTCAGACTAGTTTTACTTCTAATGTAGGAATTTGTAAAATGCCACATTAACTGATTGTCTACAAATTGTGTGCTTTTTGAACAAAATAGAATGTATTTGCAAATACAAATTCACCCCTTAGATTCACGAGTGTGTGTGTGTGTGGGACAGAGAGAGTGTGTGTGAGTGAGGGAGAGAGAGAAAGTGTGTGTGCGTGTGAACCACTGCAATTCTTGTGCCATAGCTAAATTCACAATGATGTTAGGGAGGGAATTCCAGGATTTTGACCCAGCGGCAGTGAAGGAACAGCGATATATTTCCAAGTCAGGATAGTGAGCGGCTTTGAGGGGAACTTGCAGATGATAGTGTTTATGTCTCCATGACTCTTTTTATTTGAGCTTTGCCAATTGCTGCTACATCCCCATGGCAACACCTGGACCAATCAGAATCTACCTGTCTTGTCTGAGAATTAGGATTGACAGCCAACTACATCTCCAAGCCCTGAAGATCCAAGCAATTGGCACCTTCTTTTCATATTGTATAAATGATGTCCCTATGTTCAAGTCTGTTTCTTGCATCCTGGTTCTGGTAAGTACAAGACGTAAAGCTTGAACTTCTTATCTCTTTTTTTCAATTTTTTTACAATTCAGTTTTGGAATGTGAGCATTACTGGTAGGCTTGTATATATTGCCCATCCAAAGTTGTAATGAACTCTTGTAGTCAATCTGCTGTAGGTATACTTATGATGTTAGGAAGAACATACCAGGACTTTGACCTAGCAACAATGGAGAAATGGAAGCATAGTTCCAAGTTAGGATGATGTATGACTTGGAGGGAAGCGTGAGGGTCGCGAGGTTCTGATGCATCAGTTAGGAAGTTGTGTCAGTGTGAGGAAGACTTCACCTGAAGAAGACAGTGACCAAGTGACCATATCTGGGAATTTGAATAGTGGGAATTCAACTGGTAAATGTTGTGTAAATTGAATTTTAGATTAAAAGCCAGTTTCTGTCCTAAAACTAGCAGTAAGTTAAGGTAGCCTGGTTGAAAAGGCAGTTACTAATTATGGCAGTTTTCTATCAATTATGTGAAATACCTTGCTTAAATAAGGCCCTGATTAAGGGTCAGAATAGGTTTTGAAGAAAGCTAAGTTAGATAGTGACTTATCACAGCTGTATATATGAAACAGAGTTTTGAATCTTATGATTGATAAGAAGCATGCTCAGTAGAAGTAGACTTCACCTGTGTGAAGCAGATGTTGGGTGTGTGTTTCTGGGAATTTGATTCAAGTTGGATTCGGTGCATAAGAGAAAAGAGTTGGTTTAAACAAAGGTTTCCTGCAATAAATAGAATACTGAATGAGGAGATAAGTGAAGGGTAGAGAGAGGAAGTGTTTTATTCCACAAACTTGCTTCCACTTCCAACATTTTATTTCCAATTTCTTGCAGCAGAAGGAACAAGTAAATCAGTAACTAGTATAATTAGAAACTAATGTTTGTCGGTCCTATTGGAATTCTACTGCTTCATCAATATTGTTAGGTTTACTGCCAGGGGCTAAAATATTTTGGAAACATAAAAATTAGGAGCAGGAGTCGGCCATTCAGCCCTTTGGACTTGCTCCTTCATTCAATATGATTATGGGTAATCCTCTATCTGAATGCCAGATTCCTGCTTTTTCCCCATACCATTTGATGCCTTTAACATCTAAAAATATATCTATTACTTCCTTGAATATATTCAGTAACTTGGCTCCACTGCCTTTTGTGATAGAGAATTTCAAAAGATCACTACCCTTTCAGAGAACACATATTCAGTCCTAAATGGCCTACCGCGTATCCTGAGACAGTGGCCCCTGATTTTACATTCCCAAACTAGGGAAAACATTCTCCCTGCAAGTTGACTGTCCAACTCTGTTAAAATTTTTAATATTTGAATCAGATCCACTGTCATCCTTCTAACCTCTAGTGAATACATTCCCAGTTGAACTAAGCTCTCCTTATGGGACAGGCCTGCCATAC